CACTTCACTCCTGCACTCCAAATATTCATTGAGCCTTTGTCATTCCTTGCTTCATCTTCCTCATCAAAACATTATTTTTGAGAGTTAGAAATATTTTCTTTGAGTGCTAAAGTTGTCATCCATAGAGCTTTAATCCTTCAAACACTACTTTGCTCAATTGTGTGAGCTTTCATTCTTGTGTTGTAAACTCAATCTCATTTGAGTGTTGTTCATAAGACTTTTGTGACTCAAGTCTTGTTGTTGTAAGAAAGTGAGGCTTGTGTGATTCAAGTTCTCAAGTTGTACCGGTTTTTCAAGCACCCGTTGAAGCTTGAAGATTAGTAGGACTTTCGAGAGAGTCTCTCGGAGGACTGGACTAGCCACGAGGTGGTGAACCAGTATAAATCCCGGTGTTCTTCTTTCCCTTACTCTCTTTACTTATTCCTGCGATTTTTCTTTTACACGCGAAAAATGCACATTCTTGAAAACAACTCTATTCACCCCCCCTCTAGAGTTGTACATTTGTCTAACAAACTACAGCTTATGTTTTGTATCTTGGCCCTAATATTATCTCTTGGAAGTCCATGCGCCAGAAGAGTGTATCTCGTTCTTCGACGGAGGCTAAATATAGGGCCTTAGCGAATGCCGTTGCTGAGTTACAATGGGTTCGACACCTTATGACCGAGTTGCATGTTGCACTATCTGAGGCTCCGGTCCTCTATTGTGACAATATTAGTGCTCTCCATGTTTGCAAGAATCCAGTGTTTCACTCTTGTATGAAGCATCTAGCTTTGGACTATTTTTTTGTTCGTGAATTAGTTGCTGCCAATCAGCTCCGTGTGGCACAAGTGCGCTCCTCTGATCAATTGGCTGATATCCTGACCAAGCCACTCCCCCGTGTTTTGTTCATCAAGTTTCGATCCAAGATTGGTGTCTCCGACGAATCCTCCATCTTGCGAGGGCGTATTAAGGATAAATAGATAATTATATATTCATTTACTATCTTGTTGTTATCTCCTTGTTAATAGTCTAACCACTTTGTATTATCCGTAGAATAGATGGGTTGTTAGAATTTGGTATTATCCAGTAGTGTAGTGTGACTCCAACTCTATAGCTATATAATGTAGCACCATCTGTTAATGAAGTATTAAGCATTATTCCGTATAGCTAATTGGGTTAAGGATTAAATTTTGTAGTGGACTCAAATTTAGGAGTAATTTGTGGCAAAAAGAAGTTTTCTTCATGCTTTCAAAAAATATAGTTTTTCTTCTTGTAGTCGTGCTAACGCAATGGCCTTAGCAATAATGTTTGGTTGAAATGTCTTAACAAATGGTTTGATTTTTGGTTTTAGCCCACCAACAAAGCTATCAACAAAATACTCCTTATGCATACATTTAAAGAAAAGGTCGGAAAGTTCATGCGAAACTTCACAAAATAGAAAAAGTTGATGAAGTGATCAACGTTGCGCTTCAAGACTTCAAGCACAAAGAGGGCTACGCTTTTCTTAATACCAGGGCGTGGAAGGTTATGCGGAAATTTATATGTTGGCAAGAAACAAAAAGTCAAAGTTGGACACCCATTGCTACATCAACCTCAATGACGGGAGGAAGATGATGATGAGGATTTTGTGCATGGGGTTCCGAGGCCGGCGGGTCGGGACCGTGCAAAAGCGAAAGAGAGAGGCAAAGAGAAATTAAAGTGGTTTCGGGCTCCAACAACGGAGGCAATCTTTTGGAGGTAAAAAGGACTTCAATAAAAAAAATTCATCAAATGGTGGCCAACATGGCGTTCCTTGGCACAAGTACAGAAAATATGTCCGAACGTGATTGTCCCTTAATTGAGAAGACGAAGGAAAAAATAGAAAGACAATATGATTCCCAAGACTAGATTTTTTTGTTTAGCTATGTTTTTTTAATATTTCATATGATACTTTTTCTATCATAATTTTTTCTTTATCTTTTCCTGCCATGTTTTTTTCTTATTTTAAGTAATCCATGCGTGTATTTTTTTTAATTCATGTAATGTATGTGTTTTTAAATTAAATGTTTTATGGATGCATTTAAATTTTTATGATAAAAAAATCCAAAAAAATTCAATAATCTAAAACGGTTAAAAATTATTAATAACAAACTAAAAAAAGAATAAACCTAAAAATATTATAAAATATTTTTTTTATTATTTTATATTATTATTATTTTATAAAAGATAGAATTTTGTTTGAATTGAAATATGTAAATATTAAAAAAATAAGTAAAAGTGTAATCATTGTTGTGGAGTACTACAGGTGTAAATTGAGATAGATGGTGAGTGCTGTCAGCATTGATGGAGTGCTGAGTGGCTGCAGATTTAGAGTGAGCGGTGGTAAAACACTTCAGATAGCCTTAGTATTAAAAAAAAAACGAAATTATTATCAAGTCTGATATGGTTTTTTTTAAAACAACGGGGTACCTAAATCCTTTCGTCCCTAAATTGCTCTTCTATTTTGTCTTTTATAAAATTTCAGAGAGGAACGTTTTTGTGTTGATTTTTTAAAAATATTCTTGATGTGATGAGTAATAATATGATGTGCTAGATAGATTATTAATAATAAATACCATGTGATTTGTATGATAAGATATAAAGGAAATCTCTCTGGATAAAAGTAAACAGATATGAAAATATCAAAATAGAAGTCCTAAATCTTCTAATACCAAAATAGGAGTATGATAACAGTGTGATGTAAGATTATGCATTGACACTATATTGTAAAAGTGATGAAAGTGTAATTTGGCAATGTAACCAGTCAACCATCGGCGATCTACGACGACACTCTAGTGGTCGGTGGCGACGGATGACATTGTGATAGTGATAGTGTGATTGTTGCAATGTGACAATATGGCGAGTGTGAGAGTGTAACAATGATATTGTGGACTCCTATTTTGTTTTTAATAGACTTAAGACTCCTATTTTAATACTTCATAGTTTTCAATTGGGAAAATGACTAAAGTAGGAGTAAAATATTGAAAATATTTCATAATAGGAGTTCCATGTTTTATTCCCAAAATAAGAGTTAAAATGCATTTACATTACCAATAATGATCCTGTACGTTGCAAAAAAGTATAATATAATGCACATGTAGAGAGTCATATTACTACAATATGAAATTCTATTTAAGAAATGAAATATGATTCTATTTTAATACTCTCTATGTTTTACTTCTATATCTATTTAAGGTTATTTGTTTTAATTCTTATCATGAGAATTCTCCTTGATATAATAGAAGTAAAAATAGTTGTTTAATTACTTTAATATAGATTAAAATGGGGAAAGAAATATGAAAAAAAGAAAAAAAGAAAATTTTAGGCAACTGAGATAGGTAATGAAATCAGCGTAAGCGCACGAGTCATGACCAGGCAAATGCCGCAATGTGGGGAGTTCGACGTTTGACTCCGTCATCTCCTCCCAGATTGATTGAGACATGGGTTTGAGCATTAGGTCCTCTAACTTTCATCCTTTTCTTTTCGGATCTAAGCGTCATCTTCGTCCCCCAGAAACCCGAGCCATGAAGTGAGTTTTTCTTTTCTTGTTTTTGGGCCATAGGTTAGATTCATACGCAACGTGTATCTTTTGTATTTTGTTGGCTGTTCAACCATTAGGATTTAGAATTCTAATCATCTTTTTTTAATAAATAAAAAAAACATACTCTTGAGGTTGGATCAATAGTTTTAGGCTTTCCCAGGTAAACGCAAAAAAAGCTCAAGAATAACCACAACTAGAAATTGACAACCATATGATTCAATTATAGTTTTAGCATTCGTCTTGCACATCTTATCATTTGAAAAAAAACATGTCATTGATTCATAGTAGGTGGGAACTGGGATTTTGCCTTTCTTTCAGAAGAATGATCACATATAGAGCTTCTGTCTTGGTGGTTAAAATTTGTTAATGAAACCAAGGTTGAAATCTAAAGATGGCAACTTTGCATAGAAAATGTAGAAGGTGAGTCAGTGTATTGAACCGGTACACTTCTGGGAGTAGTATACAAGCTTTGTTTACACGACATTTAGGAAAATCCGTTGCGATTTTCCGGTATATCGTATTGATGTTCATTTTCATATCTCTTTCATTTGGGGTAGTTTTTCCTCAACTTGGAATACTTATTCCTTAGTACTCTGATATTTTTCCAAGTATCTTCTTTTCGTTTAGTATATGATTCTCAAACTTTGTCATTTGCTTAATCAAAATGCCTATTTGGTTGGCTTGAGAATAATGTGATGATTTAGTTGAAAATGATTGCAGAGCAAGGAAACTTTGTGGGGTTTCTCTCTCCCTGTTGATAATCAACATGGCTGCTATAATGGAGCGTGCGGATGAGAACCTCCTTCCAGCTGTGTACAAAGAAGTCAGTGAAGCATTTACTGCAGGGCCATCTGATCTGGGGTACCTCACATTCGCGAGAAACTTTGTCCAGGGAATTGCATCACCTCTTGCAGGTGTACTGGTCATAAACTATGATCGCCCGACAGTACTTGCAATCGGNGCTGGGCTCTGTCAACAGGAGCTGTGGGTGCCAGCCAGTATTTTTTGCAGGTCTTGTTGTGGAGAGCAGTAAATGGATTTGGACTTGCAATCGTTATACCCGCACTTCAGTCCTTCATTGCTGATAGCTATGTGGATGAGGCAAGAGGGACTGGATTTGGGTTTCTGAATCTTATTGGGATTGTGGGGGGCATAGGAGGCGGGGCTATTGCCACAGTGATGGCCGGTTCCAATTTTTGGGGCATTCAAGGATGGCGTTGTGCATTTATCATGATGGCAACACTGAGTTCTTTAATAGGGTTTCTCGTGTTCACGTTTGTTGTTGACCCAAGAAAACTGGCTAGGATTGACCACGACAATGCAAAATCTTCCGAAAGGTACAGAGTTAGCTTTAGATATATCATGGTTTACTTGATTGCAACCAAGTTTTATGGTTTATTTTTCTTTGTTAGAGATGACTTAATACAGAAGGGAAATGCAAGTTCAATGTCGATCTGGGGGGAGTCGTGGACAGCAACGAAAGCAGTTATGAGAGTGCAAACGTTTCAGTATATCGTGCTGCAGGGTTTGGTGGGCTCAATTCCTTGGACTGCAATTGTCTTCTTCACACTATGGTTTGAATTAATTGGTTTTGATCATAACAGTGCAGCGACTCTTGTGGGTCTTTTTGCCGCAGGGTGTGCTTTGGGCTCCTTTCTTGGGGGAGTATTAGCAGACCGGATCTCAAAAGCATACCCTTATTCGGGACGCATCATGTGTGCACAATTCAGTGCCTCTATGGGCATCCCTTTCTCTTGGTTCCTCCTCCGAATCATCCCACAATCCGTAAGCAGCTACGGCACTTTTGGCACCACCCTTTTCCTGATGGGACTCACCATAAGCTGGAATGGCACTGCCACTAACGGTCCCATGTTTGCAGAAGTTGTGCCTCTGAAACACCGCACCATGATTTATGCTTTTGATCGTGCATTTGAAATATCCTTCTCTTCTTTTGCCGCTCCGACTGTTGGCATCCTTGCTGAGAAAATATATGGCTATGATTCCAAATCTGTTGTGGATCCGCTCCTGGGCTCTCCTCGAGAGGCCTATGCACTTTCAAGAGGACTTTTCGCAATGATGGCGGTGCCATTTGGTTTGTGTTGCTTGTTCTACACGCCCCTGTATTGGACATTCAAACCAGACCGTGACAATGCTAGAGTTGCCGGTACAAAAGAGACAGAGATGCTATGATATCTATTCATTCATTCCAACGAAGAAGCATCTCATCCCACGGAGACCAAATCTCATTTCAGATTCAGATTAGAGAGGGAAGTGAGTGCACTTGTCTTCTCCGCTTTTTTTTCCGCTTTGTTTTCCATTCTAGACCTCCAGCATCAGTAAATGACCCTTATTTAAATACACTATAGAATGAGCATTCATCATAATGAAAATAAGCAGGATTGAAAAAAAAAAATTAAACACGTAAAAGTAAACACTCTATAGAGACTAATGAGCACATTTCCACGAAAATCCCTAATTTGTCACTGAAGAAAGAAATCAACTTACTAAGGGTGGTTGTATAATATGTTGATTTGGAATTAGATATAGCATGCACGTTCTATCGACTTACTAAGAATACGTTAGTAGAAAGAAAAGGTAAAGTTGGTTTGCAGGCATGTATGGCCCACCTCATTCTAAAAATCCAACCATGTTAAAATGACTTGCTATATGCTATAATTTGACAAATTAAGGAAAATTTCATACTCCAAGGGGCTTGCTAATATTTGACAAGCTTGCTTAAAAATGAAAATGGCTTGCTACTAATAACAAACTTGATAAAATATAGCAAGCCAAAAAGAAGAAGAAAAATGTTGGTTGGGTTAGTTTTTTCATGTGCCATGACGCATTTGTTCCCTCACTTTCAGTACCACAACGCACGAAAAATTAATAAATATTATTTTATGTTTTTTACAAAAAAAATAATTTTATTTTTTACCAAAAAAATTATAAAATTTATTTTATGTTAAGTTTAAATTGCATACTTGTAGAATATTAATTAATTTTTATAATAAAATTTTAAAATTATAATAAATAGTGTACTCTAATAGTGAAATCAATACATTTTTTGCTAAATTATAGCAAGCAAAGATTGGAGATTATCATGTAAAATGACTTGCTATATCACTATTCACATGTTAATAAATAACTTTAGCTAGTCATGTTTAGCCAGCGTGATTGGAGATGCTCGGAGTATTTTACAAGGACCTTGCTATAGACGTCTCAGATCTGCCTCCTCCCTTGACACCGTATAAAAACCCTCTTTTTTTATTTTTTCTTTTCTTTTGTGTATCTCTTTCCTGCCTGTAATGCTTCTTTCTCTTTTTTCCCCTCTTTTTCACATCTCTTTAATTTAGGAGTTTTTGAATTTGAAATATTTCATCAAACTCGAATTGATTTTTTTACATTTATTTTATGAATATCTTTAATTTTAAATAGAAACAAAATAAATAATTATTTGAAGAATATTTCTTTTAAAGAAGAAGATTGAGTTGATGAATCTGGGATGAGATTCGCGAGATGCCGGGATCAATTCATTTTTTGCAAATCAATTCATTTTTTGCACTAAATAATTCCAAATCAACATATTTTGTACTACCAAACAGCAAAATTAGAATTGAAGTCTCCAATTTTAGTTCCATGACTTGAATTTTGCAAACCAGACAGAGTCTAAGTGAAATTGTGTACCATTGATAAGTGTTAATTTTATGTGATGTAATTTTATTGTGTATGAGTAAATTTTAGACTATATGCTCAAGTTTTTTCTTACAGATTTTTAATGTCTGATAATCTAGTGGTTCTTCTTGTCATAGGAAGTGAGGGTCTATGTGTGTCATGTAATTGGACATAATGTTTGCAATGAAGGAACCAAGAGAGTTTCAAGAGGGTGAAGGAGCAGAAATAGAACATTTTTCTTGCAATTGTTTTGTAAAAAAGTAATTGGGCATGAAACTTGTATTGATTGTGCATGTACAATAACCATCCGTCGAAGGGCTATTACAGACAATAAATGTCTGTAAATATCAAAGACTGAATATTTGTGTACCTGCTCTAATAGCCAAATATCTATGTACCTTCATGTCTAAGATTATATGTTTTATATTGACTTAGGAAAAATAAGAAATCTATTTAAAGCATATATATAAATACATATATTCTTTAAATATGAATTTGTACAATTTATCATTTACTATAATTTGTGCATATTGATTAATTCAAAAAAGTAGTAACCTAATTTCTATCTTCAAATAAAATGTCGGAACATAATTCTCCTTGAATTCCTCTAGTCGTGTACAACTTATCATTAATCTTGTTGATTGCTTTGTATAGGTAAAATCGTGTAAAACACTGGGCATGATAAAAAACTTTGACCTATATACAATGACATTGCAAATTTACGGACACATAAACAATATTTTTAGGTGAAATTATCATATAATTAACACAAAATAAAAAATACAACATTTTAATATATATATATATATATATATATATATATATATATATATATATATATATATATATATATATATATCATGGATTCCTCTCTCTAGCTCTCTGGTGACTGGCAAGCCGCCGAAAAACCGAAACAGGCTTTTTTCTGAAGTTCTAGCTTCAGATTTCCCTGGAAAAAGATTGCAAGGAAAGGTTACTGGCTTTTTCAAGGGAATCCCTTCAGTTTCTTTCACTAAGGATGACATTTCAGAACTCTCCTCGCGTTTTAGTCTCGCTTTGGTCGCAAAGTTCCATCGTCGTCCATCGTTCACTACGATGAACAAATTTTTGCAGAAGTTGGGCCTCAAGGGAGGGTTTGATATCTCTCTTCTTCATTGCAACAGTTTCCTCCTCAATTTTAGGGAGGAGGAGGACTACCTACGTCTCTTCCTTCTTAGATCCTGGCAGGTATATGACAAACTTATGAGCCTCACTAATTGGAGCCCTACGCTTTCCTAGGAGTCGGAGAACCCCATTATGCCGATCTGGATTTCTTTTTCAGACCTTCCTATCCACCTTCATGACAAGCGAGCCCTACACCTTATCGCCTCCACTGTGGGTACCCCTCTGAAAGTGGACTCCTGTACGATGAATTTTTCCAGGCCAGCACTAGCCAGGTGCTGCGTAGAGGTGGATATCTCCAATCTTCCCCCGGCCAGAATACTTATCAATCATGGAGGTGAGGAACTTATTTTCCCTTTCCTTTATGAGGATGTTCCCCTTTTTGCAAGGGGTGCAGGAGGACTGGGCATGATCTGGAAACATGTAAGCATAGGAGGGAAGAGGCGGTCACCCCTTACCGGAAAACAGTGGAGGTGCCGGAGAAGAGGGAAGACCATGCAGTGGATCCGAATATTGGAAAGTGGCAAAAGGTTAAATCCAAAAAGGGTAAAGCCAAGATACCTGTGGAACCAGCACATAAGAAAGAGTGGCAGGCCAGATCTTCCAATACTTCACATGATGTGTGGAAGGAAGGTCCATGAGAAACTTCCAAAACCCAGGCAGGTCCAATTGACCCCAGCCCAAGCTGTGTTTTCACCAATGAGGCTAAAGAAGTAAATTCCAAAATCTCTCCTGGGACCTATTCCATCACTGACCCACTCTTTCTCTTAGCTCTCACTCTTCATCACCGCAGTGATTATGTGGTAAGATCTCCTATCCTTTTAGAAACTTCCACATTCAATGAAGACTCTGATGATGTTGATGATAGTTTGGCCTTAGTTCCTTTCACTGGTATCCCTATTGATGGTGAACCTGAAGTGGGGTTATATGTGGATCCTCAATCTATCACTGACTCAGTCCACAAGCTGGACTCCTTCCTGAATTTAAATGAGTTTCCACCATTGCCAACAAAGGAGGCCTCCCGTCAGGACCAGATCCTCACTGCCCCCACACCTAGAACTAAGGATCGTCATCACGCCATGGTTACTAGATTTATGGCTTCAAACAGCTTCTCTCCCCTCCTTTCTCCATGAATGGACTTTTTTGGAACGTTAGGGGTGTACATATTTCTCTCTCACGCCTCATTTCCCTTGTCAAAAAATATAATTTTTACTTCATGTCTCTTATTGAACCTCTAGTGGAACCGGGAAGGTTGGAGTGGTACAAGCTCAAACTTGGTCTCACAAAAGGTTTTTCTGCTCTTAATAATAAACTCTGGTTCCTCTGGAATGAAAACCTCCTCCTCTTCAGGCAGTTATTGAGGAAGACCAGATTCTCTCTTGCTGTTTCAAGTCTTTGCAAACTTCAGTTTCTTTCTGGGTGTCTAGTGTATATGGCAAACACACTAGAGCTGAGCGTGAAGGTTTATGGGGCTCCCTTCGTAATCTTTACCCAGTTCAAGGCCCTTGGATCGTTGGAGGGGATTTCAATACTGTTGCTAATATCTCTGAACATAAAGGGGTGGTCTGCCCAGATTCAAATAGCATGGCTGATTTTTCAGTGGCTATTTCAGATTGTGAACTTATCTCTCCCAACTTTATTAATAGCCAATTTACTTGGTTTGGAAATAGGAGGAGAGGTAGAGTGAGCAGAAGATTAGACCGGATCCTTACAAATGAAGAATGCTTGGATTTCTTCCAAACCATTGAAGTAAAGCACCTTGGCAGGGGAAACTCTGATCACCGACCCCTGCTCCTCAAACACATCACTAACCAAAGTGCTCGCCCAAAACCTTTTAAATTTCTTAATGTTTGGAGCTCACATTGTTCCTACAAGGCCTTACTGGAATCATCTTGGGATTCAAGATACCAAGGGGGGGGGGGGGGTATGAGGGGTCTTGCACTGAAACTGGCACATCTAAAGAAATGCCTCCTAACTTGGAATAAGGACGTTTTTGGAAATCTCTTCAAAGATGTCACTGCGGCAGAGGAGAAGGCCGAAGCTGCTGAGGTCAAATTGGAAAATGAGGACTCAGAGGAAAACTTGATTACATACAAGCATTGCACAGCCCTTCTACAACAAGCCCTGAGAAAGGAGGAAAGCTTTTGGGCACAAAAAGCTAATATAAAGTGGATATCCCAGGGGGATGCTTCTACATCCTTCTTCCACTCATATGTTAGGGGAAGGAGGCAAAGGTTGCACATCTCATCACTTAAACGTGACAATGGGGACATTTGCTCAACATAGGAAGACATATCCAGTCTGGTTGTGGAGCACTACACCAAGATTTTCTCCAAAACTAGTGTTGGAGAGATGAGTCAAATTCTGGACCATATTCCCTCGTGTGTGACTACAGAGGACAACACTTTGATCAATCATATTCCGGGGGAGGAGGAGATCAAACAAACTGTATGGAAACTAAAATTGATATCCCAAGAGCAAGGAGCTTTCCAAGTCGGTAAGAATATCACTGAACATGTTCTCATAACCAAGGAAATGGTTCACTTACTGGCAGCAAATGTGAGGGGAGGAAACTGCATAATCAAACTTGACCTTTCCAAGGCTTTTGACAATTTATCTTGGGCATATCTGGAAGGGGTACTTGCTAAGTTTGGTTTTGATGGCAAAGCAACTACCCTTCTGTTGGGGAACCTAAGAGCAACCTTCTTCTCAGTCTTGGTAAATGGACAACCAAAGGGCTTCTTCCCAATGAAATGTGGTGTCAAGCAAGGGGATCCTCTATCCCCTCTCCTCTTCATCATTGCCCTTGAAGGACTGGCAAGATATTTAAATTTCAATCACTCCATTGGTCTCATCAAATCATTCTCTGCAGGTAGAACCCCAACCCCTTGCCACCTTCTGTATGCGGATGATATCATCATATTCACCACAGCGGAATGCAGAAACCTGCTGAGGATAAAAGGATTCTTATCAGTTTTCATGAAGGCCTTGGGGCAAGAGATAAATTACTCCAAAAGTCGAGCTATAGTCCATGATAAAATGAGGTTGGAACACAAGCTAAAAATCACTAAAATCATGGCCATCAAATGTAGTTGCAAAGAGTTCAAATATCTAGGCTCTACCATAGTAAAGGGGAAACTTAGACGGATCCACTGCAAGGACCTGGTAGAGAGATTTGAGAAAAAACTGAATGCATGGTATAGTAAGAAGCTAAACCAGATGGGAAGACTCATTCTTATCAAGCACGTCCTATCCTCAATACCCTTACACCTTTTGGCAGCTCAACACCTCCCCAAATCCATTATTAAGAATCTCAACAGACAAATGGCAAATTTCTTTTGGGGAGCAAGGGAGGATGGGCATAAGTATCATTGGCGAAGCTGGAACAGACTGTGCTATCCATTTGAAGAGGGAGGGATGGGTCTGAGAAATTTGACACACTGTCAAGATGCATCTTTCATCCATCTATGGTGGAAGATAGTACAAGGCTCCTCTTTATGGAGCAGGTATATGAGGAAAAAATACTTCAGAAACAGGGTATTCTCCCCTAAGCTGTATGACTCATACACTTGGAAGGCCATATGTAGAGTGACACCCATTGTCCTCCCCCACTGTAACCTTCATGCAAATGGTGTTGAATGGCTCTTGGGCTCTTACTCCTTCAAAACGGCCTTTTACCTCACTTTTGAGCACATGCCTAAGCAAACCTTTTGCATTTACACTTGGGACAAAAGACAACTTGAAAAGATCAGCATGTTTCTTTGGCGACTTCTCAATAATCTACTCCCACTCCCCAACAACCTGCAACGTATGCATGTTACAGCTCCAGCTCAATGCCCCCCTTGCATGGAGGATGTGGGGGATGAGCAACATATCTTCCTTAATTGCAGGGTTGTTTCCCCAGCTTGGAGAAGTTATTCCATGGTGTTAGATGCACCAGCTGTTCGTGGTAACCCTACGGTCCAGCAAGCACTCCTTGGTTGGTGGTTCTCTTCGAACAAAAGTAGCATAAAGGGTAACCTTAGGTTTCTTCTCCCCGGTTTCATTTGCTGGTCCATTTGGAAGATCTACAACTCATGCCTCAACGATCATGCCAAACCATCCACGGAGGTCATTATTATCATAGAAAATAAACTTGCTCAGGCCTGGTGTTGGGAAAACAAAATGGATACCACCTTCTTGTATTCTTTGGATATTTTTAGATTGGCCATCTCAACTTTTAAAAACACTAGAGTCCCCGTACAGGACCTAGTGAACCCCTCCCTTTGATGTACCCCCACCTCTCTTTGTTTTTTTCCCTTTGACTTCAATAAAGCTTATCCTTAATATATATATATATATATATATATATATATATATATATATATATATATACGTTTGCCCGTGTAGCTGGATGAAACAACCTCGGAGAATAATCTATTATTGGTTTCCGGTGGTTTTCCGGTCACCGGAGTTTTAGAGAGAGACTTGGTTAAGCTCCTCTTGCATTGCCATAGACCAATGTTCATCATTAATTACATCCAAAACGGTTGTTGGTTCAATTTGCGAAACAAAGACCATGTGATTGATTGTGTTGGGAAAAATATTATAGATTTTGATGATGATGTATATAGATTGTAATAGGGACTTTAGGTCTCCCCCAATATTCAATGTAATTTTTCTTTTTAGAAATATTGTTAAAACCGAGTTCTCGAGATATCCAATAAATTTGTGATATTTTACTTTGTGGTTTGATGTCAATGGTTGAAGACTTAATCAAATTCAGTGATATGGAAATTGGATATTTTGATCGGAAATGTCAGAGACAAGTAAGGAATTCTCAAAGCAATTGAAGATTCTCTAATCCGGAACACTACATGATAACCGGACGTCTCGCTACCACCCGCTGAAGGCTAAGTCATCCGAATCGGAAGACTAGCGCGGATCTCTTCTCACCTGGAAGTCTATGAATGACTTTTCCGGATTTGTCAGCAAAGAACCGGATGCCTCAAAGAAAGACCGGAATTCTCAAAAGCAGACAAGTGAGAAAAAGACTTAGAAAATTATCTAAGTCTTGAATGAAGAAATTCTACCCGTTGGTAAGGAAAAATCAATCTCTTGATTTTCAACGGCTAGATTAAAGATAATTATGCTGATTCAAGAACAAATGACTTAAAGACAAAGTCTGGACCTCTCAAATTAAAGAGCTCGCCCAGAATTCCTAAACAAGCATTAGAAGACAAACTGAGTAAGAAGCTACAGTCCAGAATTCTTGAACAACCGCTAGAAGACGGATTCTGTGGAAAAAAGAATCCATCCTCAAACAATTGGGTACGTCCAAACACCCATTCCAATGAAGAATCTTCAATCACAATCTTCATTCAAAATTGAAGCCAGCAAATGCAACAGATAGTCTATTTTGATTCAACGGATAGATTACCCAATCCAGCTATATATAGCATCCTTGGAAGACTGGAGAAATATATGTGATAGAAAGCAAAGAACACAACGAAGCAATCTCAAACTACAAAGCTATCACATCACAGTTAGCCCAAAAAGCTTGATAAAGAGAGATTTCTAAACTCCTTATCCAGAAGCAAACTTCTCCTCCTTCCAAAGAACTATAGTGTAAACACTTGAAGGTTTCCTTGCCTCAACTACCACACCACGTTGAAGGATATAACTTTTAATCAAACTTCTTGATTAAAAAAAGGGTACATCAACTTTCTTACAAGTTGATCTTGCAAGTCCTATTGTTCGGATCTTGCAGTTGTTGAAGAAGCGTGACCTTCGAAGGAACAACAAAGCCAGCACGAGTGCAGTAGCAACATTGGCCTTGCGAAGATATACCATGCAAAAATTCACACAAGTGTAATTGTTGGTTCATTATTCAAAAGCTTCAAAATGCTTCCCGGAGAATCATTTGATATGTTGGATGAAAGATTCCACAAAATCCTGAATGGATCTTGCATCACTTGACAACGTTTTTTCTCCCAAAGAAAAGAATGTAAGATTACTGAGATCTCTTCCAACTGAGTGGTACACCAAAGCCACAGCCATGGAAGAAGGAAGAAACCTGGAGAACTACACTGTCCAAGGTCTCCTTGATGAGCTCAGAACCTATGAGCATGAGCTGAAGAAGAAGAAGGAAGAATAAGTCACTCCATTTCCCACGGCACAGATGACAACTCCAAGAGTCCCATCAAGTGAAGGGACATGCCCAAGGAACTGTGACACACCTTCCTTTAACCAGCCATCAAGTTCAAGAATGGAGAACTACGATGAAGAATTTGCCATGATGGTCAAGCAATTCAGGAAGTTCAAGAAGTTCTTCAAGAAAGCTGACTCAGTCAGAAGGCCATCCAAAGGAAAGCCACAGGTAAGTGACTCCCCTCCTGAATCTTATTTATGTTATAATTGCAGGAAGCCTGACCACTAGAAGTCAGCATGCCCGTACCCAAAAGTGGAGAAGTACGGAGAAAGAGAAAGAAACGAGAAGAAGAAGAAGGCAATGGTAGCTGCTGAAAGTGACGAGTCATCCAGCTCAAGCTTGGATGAAGAAGCCCTCGTCTGCATGGAGCGCAGATATGAGAAGTCCAACCATGAGGATTGGTGGACCATGTCAGAAGATGACACTCTCTGCCTAATGGCCAAAGATGATGCTGAACAAGAGGTAACATCACAAACCTCCTGCTCATCATCTTATGAAAGCATACCAACTTCTGAAAATCTTTTTGACAAGTTCAAAAAGATAATGGAAGATTTTGAAAAAATAAATCTTAAACACTTATCCTTAACAGAAGAGAACAAGTTGTTGAGTGAAGAGAATCTCTGTTGAAACACGGGCATGTCACGTTTTCGTACTAAAGCCGTGTTTGTTTTTATGACAGGTTTTGATAATGCCAAACCGCCGTGATCAAGTCAAACATTGAATATACAAGGCGAAGAATGAAGATAAGAGCAAGAGCTAAACGAAGACCAAGAACGAAGACCTTAATCATAGTATTGAGTCGGTCTTCATTGTGATCAAGACCGACCCAATCTTTACACCTTGGCTCTTTAGGCTAAAAACCTTCATTGCACTTCTTAAATCATAAAAATGCTTTTCAAACATGTTTAAGTCATTAAAAACACTTGGTGTTCGCCCAAACCAGAAACCAAGCCATCCGGCGTTCGGGTTTCAGAAACTGGCGTTCGGCTCTCGGTTATCGGCTATGGTTTTTGGCGTCCGAACCAACCAAATGGTTTTCAACTTTTTGTGATTGGTTTTTACTCTTTGGCATGTTTAAACGGTTCTCCAGCAAAAACACCTTGAAAACCATCTTTCGCTTTTGATCGTTTGACAAAAATCATTCAAAACGGCATAAAACTTGGCTAGCCATGGTTTTCACTTAAATGACGTGCTTTTCAAAGTGTCTTACTCGATTTATTAGCCAAATAAATCAAATAAGTGTTTTAAAAACTTGGTTTTTATTTTGGAGAACTTTGAATTTTTCGGTCGGGTTTCGCATCGGTTGGCTAGGCCGTGGTTAAGGCAAAAACCATAGGTTTTTGGCTAACCACCCACCCAGCGATGGGAAGAACATCCCATCGATGGGTAAGTAGCCCCTTAGCCAAACCAACTTCCAGAACCATGCCAAACAGCGATGGGAAGCTCTACCCATCGCTGTTAGAGCCTTGGTGCAAAATTACCACAAGGCAGAACGACCTTGCCCAGCGATGGGAAGTCTATCCCATCGATGGGAACCCAGCGATGGTAAGGGTATACCATCGATGGGAAGGCATGACCGTTGGTGGTCATTAAAGGTTGATTCTTTCCTTGTTTGGAAGTCAACCTCCCACCCAGCGATGGGAAGCTTGTACCCATCGATGGGTAGGTGACCGTTGACTTCAAAACAGAAGAAAAATTGGCTTACCAGCGATG